TTCGGGGTCTTTTTTGGTTCCATATGAACTTTTGAAGTATTTGTTCTAGTTCTATGAAATATGTCGTTGGTATTTTGATGGGGATTGCATTGAATCTATAGATTGCTTTGGGTAGTATGGACATTTTAATTATGTTAATTCTTCCAATCCATGAACAGGGTATGTGCTTCCACTTTTTTATATCTTCCTCTATTTCTTTTTTCAATGACCTGTAGTTTTCTGCAAATAGGTCCTTTACTTCTTTGGTTAAGTTTATTCCTAGGTATCGAAATTTTTTTGGCGCCATGGTAAATGGGATTATTTTCTCAGTTTCTCTTTCTGTGAGTTCATCATTGATGTACAAGAATGCCGTCGATTTCTTGACGTTAATTTTGTATCCTGCTACTTTGCCAAATTCATTTATTAAGTCTAATAGATTTTTGATGGAGTCTTTAGGGTTTTCTATGTACAATATCATGTCATCTGCAAATAATGACAGTTTCACTTCCTCCTTTCCAATTTGGATCCCTTTTATTTTTTCTTCATGTCTGATTGCTGTGGCTAAGACTTCCAGTACAATGTTAAATAAGAGTGGCGAAAGTGGACATCCCTGTCTTGTTCCTGTTCTTAATGGAAATTTTTTTCGTTTCTGTCCATTGAGTATGATGTTGGCTGTAGGTCTTTCATATATGGCCTTTATTATGTCGAGATATGATCCCTCTATTCCTACATTGCTGAGCGTTTTTATCAGAAATGGATGCTGGATTTTGTCGAATGCTTTTTCAGCATCTATTGATATGATCATGTGGTTTTTATTCTTCATTTTGTTGATGTGGTGTATCACATTTATTGATTTGCGAATATTGTACCAGCCTTGCATCCCTGGAATGAATCCCACTTGGTCATGGTGAATAATTTTTTTGATGTACTTCTGGATCCGAATTGCTAATATTTTGTTCAGGATTTTGGCGTCTATGTTCATCAGGGATATTGGCCTGTAGTTTTCTTTCTTCGTAGTGTCTTTTTCTGGTTTTGGAATTAGAATTATGCTGGCCTCATAGAACGTGTTTGGAAGTCTTCCTTCTTCTTGAATTTTTTGAAATAGTTTGAGGAGAATGGGTGTTAGTTCTTTTTTGAATGTTCGGTAAAACTCCCCCGTGAAGCCATCTGGGCCTGGGCTTTTGTTTGCTGGGAGAGTCTTGATTACCTCTTCAATTTCCTTGGTTGTTATTGGTCTGTTCAAGTTTTCTATCTCTTCCGGAAATAGTTTTGGGAGACTGTGTGTTTCTAGAAATTTGTCCATTTCGCTTAGATTTTCGAATTTGTTGCCATATAGTTGTTCATAGTAGTTGTTAACAATCTTTTGTATTTCCGTGGTGTTGGTTGTTACTTCTCCTCTTTCAATTCTGATTTTGTGTATTTGGGTTCTCTCTCTTTGTTTCTTGGTGAGTCTAGCTAAGGGTCCGTCAATCTTGTTTATCTTTTCGAAAAACCAGCTCTTTGTTTCATTGATCCTTTGAATTGCTGTTTTTGGTCTCTATGTCATTTATTTCTGCTCTGATCTTTACTATTTCCTTCCTTCTACTTGCTCTGGGGTTTTCTTTTTCTTTGCTTTCTAATTCTTTAAGTTGTGAGGTTAGACAGTCAATTAGAAATTTTTCTTGTTTTTTGAGGTAGGCCTGTAGTGCTATGAACTTCCCTCTCAGAACTGCTTTCGCTGCATCCCATAGATTTTGTGTTGTTGTGTGTTCATTTTCATTGGTTTCCAGGAAGTTTTTAATTTCTTCCTTGATCTCCTCGGTGACCCATTCATTGTTTAATAACATGCTATTTAGCCTCCATGTGTTCAAATGTCTTTGCATGTTCTTGTTGCAATTGATTTCTAGTTTCATGCCATTGTGATCTGAGAAGATGCTTGATATGATTTCAATCTTCTTGAACTTGTAGAGATTTAGTTTGTGTCCTATCATGTGGTCTATCTTTGAGAATGTCCCATGTGCACTTGAGAAGAATGTGTATTCTGTAGTTTTGGGGTGTAATTCTCTGTAGATATCTATTAAATCCATTTGGTCTAGTGCTTCATTTAGAGTCTCTGTTTCCTTGCTAATTTTTTGCCTAGAGGATCTATCCAGTGCTGTCAATGGGGTGTTGAAGTCCCCTGCTATGATTGTATTGTTGTCGATTTCTCCTTGGAAGTCCTCCAGAAGATTTTTAATATATTTTGGTGCTCCTATATTGGGTGCATATATGTTTATCAAGGTTATATCTTCCTGTTGGATAGATCCTTTCAATATTATGTAGTGGCCGTCTTTGTCTCTAGTTATGGTCTTCATTTTGAAATCTATTTTATCAGATATGAGAATTGCTACCCCAGCTTTTTTTTGCTTTCCATTTGCTTGGAAAAATTTTTTCCATCCCTTCACTTTCAACCTATGTGAGTCTTTTGTTGAGAGGTGGGTCTCTTGTAAACAACATATAGATGAGTCATGCTTTCTTATCCAATCAGCTACTCTGTGTCTCTTTATGGGAGCATTCAATCCATTAACGTTTATGTACTTATTTATTGCCATTTTTGTTTAGTGTGGTTCTATTTTTCTTCCCATTTCTACTGCTAATTACAGCAGTCCTTTTAACATTTCTTGCAGTGCTGGTTTGGTGCTAATGTATTCCCTTAGCCTTTTTTTTTGTCTGGGAAGCTCTTTATTTGACCTTCTATTTTGAATGATAGCCTTGCTGGGTAGAGTAGTCTTGGATTCAGATTCTTGTTTTTCATGACTTTGATTACTTCATGCCATTCTCTTCTGGCCTGTAGTGTTTCTTGTGAGAAGTCAGCTGAGAGCCTTATGGGGTTCCCTTTGTAGGTAACGTGTTGCTTATCTCTTGCTGCTTTTAGGATTCTCTCTTTGTCTTTAATTTGTGGCATTTTAATTACTATGTGTCTTGGTGTGGGCCTGTTTGGGTTCTTCTTACTTGGGACTCTCTGTGCTTCTTGAACTTGAATGCCTTCTTCCTTCACCAAATTAGGGAAGTTTTCTGTCACTATTTTTTTGAATATATTCTCTATCCCTTGCTCCTTTTCTTCTTCTTCGGGGACTCCTATGATGCGAATATTATTACGTTTCCAGTTGTCCCATAGTTCTCTTAAGCTGTCTTCCTGTTTTTTAATAGTTTTTTCCTTTTGTTTTTCTGATTGGTTGATTTTTTCTACCCTGTCTTCTAATTCACTGATCCGGTCCTCAGCTTCCCCTACTCTGCTTTTTAAACCTTCCAATGTGTTTTTCATTTCGGATATGTCATTTTTTATCTCTTCTTGTTGGTTTTTAATTTCCATTTGGCTTATTTTCAGTGTCTCTATGTCCTTACTCATGCTGTTCAGCTTCCTCAAGATCATGGCTTTGAATTCTAGCTCTGTTAACATGCCTAATTGCTCCGCATTGATCTCATCTTCGGTGGAGGTGTCTTGCTCTTTCATTTGGCTTCTGTTTCTGTGTTTCACCATTTTGGCTATCACTGTGGGCTTTGGAGCCTGTCAAGTTCTCCCTGTGGGTGTTGGTGTTCTGCTGTTTGTGGCTCCCTCTCCGGGATGGAGTCAGTGTCCCTCGTTGTATGGTCCTCGCAAGCTGCTTTTCTGTTGCTTTTTCCCGTCGATTTGTCTGTGTTATAGTTGTAATTCCAGTTTGGTTCTGGGAGACGGTCTGTGTAGCTCCGTTCACTCCGCCGCCATTTTTCGGTTCCTCCATAATCAACATTTTAAAAAATAATCTTTTTTCAGTTAATTTCATGTTTTTCATTCAAATTGATGCTTTAATCAAAGTGATGAAACTTATACCACTAAATAAAGAATATTTTTGAGTAAATTAGAAGTTTATAAGTATATGAATTTTGTACATGATGTGCCACCTACTGAGTACTTTAATTTCTTTCCCCTGTTGATGTGAATTTTAGGTGAGGAACCTGTTCTGCTCCTTGAGTACTAGATCCAGTAGGACCGTGCACATCTGCCTTTTGTTTACAGTGCTATTTTTTTTTTTTATCCTCACCCGAGGATATTTTTCCATTTTTTGTACAGATAGAGTGGGAGGGAGAGAGAGGAAGGGAGAGAGAGAGAGAAACATCGACGTGAAGGGACACATCGAGTGGCTGCCACCTGCACAACCAACCAGGGCTGGGGACAAACTGCAACCGAAGTACGTGCCCTTAGTGGGAACCGAACCCGGGTCTCTCCGGACCGCAGGCCGAAGCTTTAACCGCTGAGCCAAACTGGCCAGGGCTACAGTGCTATTTTAAAGTACAGTCTATTCCTAAGAAAACAACTGTTGTCTTTAAATTGAGCTGCCTCGTAGCAACTGTGGCCATTAGAGTGGAGACCAATTACCTCATTAGTAGAAAGCACCTCTCCCTAAGGGACTGATCCTGGGGCTTATATTTTTGACATATTCTGAGGAAATCTTTTAAGACAGCTAGATAGTCATTGTTTCATTGCTACTATGCTTTACTTTTTATGTTTATTTATTTTTAAGATTCTGAATAGATTTTTACAGAGAGAGGAAGAAAAGGGAGAGAGAAACATCAGTGTGAGAGTGATACATTGAGCTGCCTCCTGCACGCTATTGGGGATCGAGCCAGCAACCTGGGCAGGTGCCCTGACCTGGAATCAAACCAGCAACATTTTGGTGCATGGGCGATGCCCAACCAACTGAGCCACACGGGCCAGGGATATGGTTTACATCTTAAAAAAAAAAAACATTTGATATGCTTCTGCGTGTTTGAACATGTGATTCTCTGGTCTGTGTTTGTTTAGCCGATAGTTCCCCTACTTTCTTTCATCCAGAAGCTTTTAGCTATAGTACTATTTATGAAAGAGGGATTGTAAATGTGCACCATTAGCCATGTGTTGAAATAGAAGGAAGCTCGATATAACTAAGAAAATTGGCGTTGGAACTGTTATTTTGTCAATCCAACACTTTTTGCTTCATTCCATGATTTTTGGTGTTGATTTCCATCCTCCTCTTTCTCTACAGGCTGGGAAGTGATGACACCCATTTTGAGGTTAGCATGGCCAACAATGGATGTGAAGTGCATCGTTTTGATCCTAGTGTTACGTCAGCTCACATTCTGGAGAGTCAGCACCTTTGGTATCACCGCTTGTCCATCGACTGGCGGGACCCCCATCCAGCTGTTGCTGCCCAAAAACCACATAGCAACACCAGAAAATTGGGAACCATTTTGAACGAATTTGGGCATCACAAGGTAAGATTTTTTCATTTGATTTTATAATTAAGAAAAATGAACAAACTCATAAACTGTATATATATTTTTTTAATCCTCACCCAAGGATATTTTCCCATTTATCACCAGATAGAGTGTTGGGGGGTGGGGGGGTGGGAGAGAGAGAGAGGGAGAGAGAGAGAGAGAAACATCCATGTGAGAAGGACACATCAATTGGTTGCCTCCCATGTGAACCCAACCAGGGCCGGGGACCAAATCTCAACCAAGGTACATGCCCTTGACCAGAATCAAACCTGCGACTCTTTGGTCCACTGGCCAACACGAACTGCTGAGCCAAATCAGTCATGGCTGTATTTTTTAAAGGCAAACCAAGAATTGGATAGGTGAAGGTCCAGTTTTTTAATATTTTATTTTTCAATTACAGTGCACATTCAATATTATTTTATATTAGTTTGAGGTGTACAGCATATCGCCAGGCAATTATATACTTCACAGAGTGATCAGCCCAGTATTTCCAGTACCCACTTGGTACCATACATAGTTATTACAATATTATTGACTATATTCCCTATGTTGTACTTTATTTCCCCATGACTATTTTGTAGTTTCAGTCTTACCCATTACCCATCATTATTTACAGAGTCAGCTCTGTAGACATAAGCTTTTGACAAGGATAGAGATATTTAAATTGATTTAAACATTTTAGTTGCTGTTGAGTAGCGCTAAGTCAAGTTTTGGCTAAGACTGGATAGGGAGACTAACAAACCTACTATGGCATAGGCTCCAGAGTATCATTTCTGATGGGCAGTTGATTTAAGATTTCCAGACAGAGGGAACAACCTGTGTCAGCCTTACATACAAAAAATAATCGGAATCGGGTTTATATTTGGTAACAGTTTGCTTGTGCATCCTGTTTCTCACTGTCGTGACAACTATTTTGAGTCTCCAGGCTCTTAAAGGTCAGAAAATATGTGGAGCTTTGATTAAAATGTACTTTGTAAAATTGAATGGACATTAAGTGTGCTGCAACTGAGATACTTCTGTTCAAAGGATGTCAAATCTCTACAAATATTTTATTGTGAATGGGTAGCAAAGAAAGGGACTTGTACTTTGAACTGTGTTCTTAAAAGCACATTTTGGTGTAGAGCTGAGCTAACTGCATGTTGTAGGCAGATACTAGGGAAATTCTCCCGAGTGTAGTTGCTTATGTTTGATTGCCAACCCTCTTGGGCTTGGCCTATCTTTGCCTCCTATTCCCAGCCAGAGATGACATGCAATTTAGAACATGCCAGAATGGGTATTTTGGAGAAACAGTGTACATGGAGTTTAAACTTGAGTGTGCTGCTTGATCTTTAATAAAAGGGCTTTTCCATGGTATGTTCTTTCTTCTCTTCTTCTTCCTCCTCCTCCTCCTCCTCCTCTTCTTCTTCTTCAAAAACTCCATTTAATTCAACAGCAGGAGCTTCTTCAAGAACAACTTCAAAGAATTTGCTGTTTTTTTAACTTGTAATTAACTATTGATTTGTATTTTGCTTTGATACTGAGAGTAACTAGCATTGAATAGTTAGAAGCCTTAATGAAAAATATAGAGGACTTTTGGGGTAAAGTCTGTGAACAGAACCCAAAGAAGGGAGAATATTTTTTAGAACTTTATTCTGATCTTGGTGCTCGTTACCTTCATAGACCTGTTTTTTTTACACCTGAAAATCACAGGTGTGATTCTCGAATATGTCAACTCTAGATTATTTATAGAGCTAACTACTGATCTTTGTGTTCATTAGGCATTTTCCTGCTCCTCCTTAATGCTCTTTACATCCTGGCTCTATCCACCCCCACTCTTCCTAAGAAAAGACTGAGTAGAGAAAAGAGGTGAAACAAAGCGATTTTGCTTTTGTTTTTAGTATTTTAGCCAAAGATTTGGTAAATGTGAGGATAAAGTGAGGCTTTGAAAAATGATCTGTGGATGTAATTTATCTAAGCCACACTGCCTGTGGAAAAGGCGTTTTTAGACATCCAGGTTCGCACCTGATTTGTGCGTTGAACTCCAGGGGAGCTGAAGTAGGCAAACCTCCACGCTGAGATGAGGCAGGATGCCCTCACCCCACTGCTCCTGGAGCAGCAGCCTCCGCACACACCTGGAAGCAGAGCCGTTCTGGGAAATTGCTTGCATTCCTAAGGCTACTTACTTTTGTTAAACACATGAATCATGTCACTTAAAAATAGTTAAGATGCTAATTTTCATATGTATTTTACCACCATAAAAAAAAAAAAAAAAAGGAAAAAACCCTCAGTAATAATGAAAGTGATCTGGCTCAGAAGTGCCAGGTGTTTCTGCTGCTTAAAAGACACATCCCTTGTTGAAGAACGTAAGAGAGACTGATATTCTTTCTTCGGATGATTTTTGGAGGAATGCTCTAAAACAACACCAAAAACTAAGCCCACCGGTGAGTGATGGCTTCCTTCAGGAACATGCTTCTGGGAGCTATGTGATGCCAGATAAAGGGGAATCTCGTTTCTGGCCTGTGGCAAGCAAGGTGTGTTTTCATTTTTCTGCTTGTGTACAGGCACTGGCCAGTAGGACGTGCCTCTGGCAGGGAGAGCAAGAAGGAAAAAACCAAACAACCACATGCAAAAACATGGCCGCGCTTTTCGCCTTGCCTTCTTTTCTCATTTTTTTCCGGAAAGTGACTTACAGAAACCATGTCATGGCTTTAAAGCATCTCATACGTTTGGTGATGTTTTCCATGGTACGCTGTTATTTTTTTTTTCTTTTTATCAGACCTTGATTCCAGAACTCTGGCAGAAATGTAGGCAGAATGAAAGGCAGTATTTTGAGATGGTGACAGAAAGATGCATATGGCTTTCTTAGTGCTTTTAAAACCCTTTGGTAATTTTAACTTCAAACTATAAATAAAAAAATCTGTTTAAAGCGTCAAGTGAGAGCAGCTGCATCAGCAAAAGCACAGGAGCCAGAAGCCCAGTCTGCCAGGGAATAATCTCACCTGAACCCAGCACTATCTGAAATGATTAACTGTCCTTACACAACTGCTTGCTGCTGTAACCACGCATTTTTCCAGAATATGACTAGAAATACTGAATCTGAAATTTCTGCACATATTAATCATAATCTATACTTTTTTAAAAAAGGTCTTTATTACACAGAGTATGCTAAATGATCCAGGCAGGTTAAGGATAAATTAGTTTTTTCAGCCTCAGCCATGCTGATGATATGGATAACAGGACTACATGAGCTTACCTCTGCAAATTCATTAATCTAGGTTTGAAGCATGGGTCCTCGTGTTGGCTTTTGGCATCGGGCAAGTCTTAAATGACTCTCCGGCGCTCAGTTTGATTGTCAGTAAAATTGGGACAATGATACTACCTACATGGATTGTTTTTGAAAATTAGGTCAGAAAACACAGCACGAAAGGCTCCAGCCGAGTGCCTGGCATGAATTAGTCATTTGTTTGTAAGTTCGAAGAATTTTTATTAACAAGTTCAGGAAATTTTTACAAAGTTTCATGGTAAACATTTTCTTGCTCTATTTGCAGGGAAAATACTTTGGAGATTTTTCTGGAAATTGCTAACTGCACCTAATTCCAGTTAAGAATTTTTAATGAAAGCTTTGTGTGAAACTGAAGGGCAATTGGTCCTTCAGACATGGTTGTTGGGAACGATTATTGTTTGCTGCCTCGGGGTACTGAACAGTTTTGCTGCGATTGTATGGAAAGTAAAGACCGTGCCGTACAGAAATGAAATAAGCTTCTGAGAATTAATACAGAGCAGATGTAACCCGAGGGGCACGACCCAGGTAAAGCTGGACTTCCTGCCTGCTCAGTGCTGAGGAAGGAGGGGGTCCTCCCTCTCCTCCTTGGACACTGTCCCAGCAGCGGAGTGTTCCATGGACCCTCATCAGAGGGGCAGTTTCTGCTTCCCTGGGTGGAGGGCTCCCCGTTGATCACAGAACATCTGTTTTGTGGTCACTGCTGTATTAAAGAGAATATGGGCTTGGAAATTAAACTACAGAAAGATTCCTTTTTCTTTTTGCTTATCAAATTAGCAAATATAAACAAGATACTGATACTGCCCTACATTGGAATGCTTGTTGGGAATAATACTTATGCTTTGCTGCTGGAAATGGAGAATGATAGATCCTTTCTGGAAGAAAATTCAACCATGTGTATATATGATGTCACGTTTTATTCTTAGAAATCTTTGCCTTAAATTCTATTTTGTCTGCTATTAGTTCTGCCATTCCAGCTTTTGTTGGATAAGTATATTTTATGAAATGCCATTCTAGATTCCTTCACTTTCATTTTTTGGATATAGTTTTAGCGTATAAGAATGACATTCAGTATATGCTTGGATTGTGTTTTTAAATCCAACTTGATTATCTTTGTCCTTAAATAGGTGTGTTCAATTCACTTATGCTCATAGTTACTGTGATTACTGGCATATTTGGACTAATTTTTTACTCTTTTAAATTGGGCTTTTTTGGTTTTCTATTCTTCTTTCTCTTCTTACCAAAGCTTTTTTTTACTTCTTTATGATTACCCTTAAATTTTAAATGTATATAACTATAGCCCTGGCCGGTTGTTCAGTGGTTAGAGCATCAGCCTGTGGGTTCTAGTTCTAGTCAAGGACGCGTACCTGGGTTGCGTGTTCGAATCCCTCATGCGGGAGGCAACCAGCTGATGTCTCTCATGTTGATGTTTCTCTCTTTCTCTCTCTCCCTCCCTCCATTCTACGCTGTCTAAAGAATTAATGGAAAAATAGTCTCGGGTGAGAATTAGCAATAAATAAATAAATATACAAAATTTTAAAACAACGTGTAAAATTATCAGTATTTTTATATTCCTCCTAAATACAACAAAGATTATAGCAAGTTCACTGCCCAATGAATATGGACCCCCCGCCCCCACGTGATTATTTTCTGGCATTTTAATTTTACCTTATTTTTTTACATTTTCTTTTGAAAAAATTTTAAACACAGAAGTTGCAAGTTGCAAGAATAAGTATAA